TTAGTATTAGTATTAGTATTAGTATTAGTATTAGTATTAGTATTAGTATTAGTATTAGTATTAGTATTAGTATTAGTATTAGTGTTAGTATTAGTATTAGTATTAGTATTAGTATTAGTATTAGTATTAGTATTAGTATTCGTATTAGTATTAGTATTAGTATTAGTATTAGTATTAGTATAAGTATTAGTATTAGTATTAGTATTAGTATTAGTATTAGTATTAGTATTAGTATTAGTATTAGTATTGGTATTAGTATTAGTATTAGTATTAGTATTGGTATTAGTATTAGTATTAGTATTAGTATTAGTATTAGTATTAGTATTAGTATAAGTATTAGTATTAGTATTAGTATTAGTATTAGTATTAGTATTAGTATTAGTATTAGTATTAGTATTAGTATTAGTATTAGTATTAGTATTAGTATTAATATTAGTATTAGTATTAGTATTAATATTAGTATTAGTATTAGTATTAGTATTAGTATTATTATTAGTATAAGTATTAGTATTAGTATTAGTATTAGTATTAGTATTAGTATTAGTATAAGTATTAGTATTAGTATTAGTATTAGTATTAGTATTAGTATTAGTATTAGTAATAGTATTAGTATTAGTATTAGTATTAGTATTAGTATTAGTATTAGTATTAGTATTAGTATTAGTATTAGTATTAGTATTAGTAGTAGTGACAAAAATGCAATGATACCGCAGTTTTTTGAGATACCAATGCAATCCTGTTTCATGCAATAAGCGTCTGCTTTGGTTTATATATAACTGATTAGATTGCTCCATGGTTGATTACATATTTGCCAATATAAATATAATTGCTGTTTGGTTTAATTAATTTCATTGTAAATTGAAATGATACTTACCACATTGAAACATTACAAACATAAGTCGAAGTATTTTTAATGCGTTGATCAGTCACAAAAAAGTTTTAAGTAAATCTATACATGTTGTTTATTATATTTCTGTACCTTCGTTTTAGTATATGTTATTTTAAGGTCCGGATATAAAAAGAATTGGAAATTCAGTAATTCAGTGAAATTAAAAATCAATAAATAGTTTTATTTAAGAAGTGTTACTTCTGTTAAGATGTTTGGAAGCTAATTTTATTCTATATCACACATATTGCATTGACAATTTATGCAGATCTAATTTTTTATATTTTCTTGATAGATTTTACATGTTTACAATGAAATATTAATATAGCCGTCATTTTTTTTCTCAGAGAAGCAAAAAAATACTCACAACTTACGAAAGAAAACATGTAAAGCAAGAGCAATGCTCTTACAATCTTCAGAAGCTGGGTTCTTTTGACATGAATACTTCAATAGAACACATGTCGCTTAAAAATTAACATGTAAAGCAAAATCAAAATTTGCAAAAATAAGTCCAATTTCTTGAATAAGCCACTCGCATTACCATGGTGCCAAATCTTAAAATTGATCCATTGTGAATGATTTTCAAAAGAAAATGGAAAAATGGAAAAAAAAATGGACTCCTTATTTCACTATTTTTCTCCTTTATCATGGATAAATCTTAAAAGAATGTATATTTTTTTATAAATTCATATGCAATATAAAATGTTCACCAACAATTTTTTTGTGTCATTCATTTTATATATATTTAAAAAAAAAAAATTTAACTGAAATTATCTGCAGATATTTTTGCATTTACATACCACAAAGTTACTTAAAATTTTTTTATCAGTGATTAAGGCAGTGATGCCAAGTTCTTCTGAAGCAACCAGAAGTTGTTCTATTGGAGCATTCATGTCAAAAGAATACACGCAGAGTTCACTCGTAAACAATTTTATGTCTTAAGTTTCAGTGCAGCCAAATTTAAAAATCAGTCTATTGTGAATGTTCGCTGAAAATATGTCTCAAAATTCCAGGCATCCGTTAAAATGACTGAAGTCAATTTTTTTCAACCAGACTGATTTATACAACTCTTTTTTTTTATACAACTCTGAAAAAAAATTACATCTAATGAAAGGCACTCTGATCTTTTTTCGAAGAAGAGTCTTTTCCATAACCGCATTTGAAAAAATATGATTTTAATGTAAAATAATGTACCAATAGCTATTTGTCCATATCGTAGTACAGACGTATATAGATAGAAATATTGCCAGTTCTGATAAATTTTCACCTCCTAGATATTCTATTGTTTTATTTCTGCTATTTCTAAATAAAGTGAGTGTTTATCAGGAGGTGTATTTTATGCTTAAAATAAAATAGGACTTATGATGAATAAACTCTGTTCTGCCCTTTTTTTAAACTTTTTAAACTTTGTGCTCTAATTAATTGCATATTTCAATACATAAGAAATTTATATATACCGTCGACCATTTTGTGGTTCCAAAAGTAAATATAAATTATATACAAATGCTTGAGATTTCGATAAAATTCTTATTTCAATATATTTTTTAGGTCTAAGGTTTAAGGTATGAAATAGAATATCACTCAAATGTACTTTAAGTAACATTTTACAGTACTTTAAAGGATCTTTGTTTTTAAAGCGTCAAGAGGTGAAGCATTGCTCCCTTAAACAAGAAAATCAATAGTGGCAAATTACATGATCTAAGCAGCTAATTTATGGAAATTATTGTCTCAAAACAAGGCTAACACATGATGTATTTTGACAACGTCCTGTAACAGCTACGTATCTTTCCCATACACATCCTCAATTTCAAGCTAAAAAAATTAGTGATCATATGTCTGCAATGCTCAATGTTATATTCATAGGGTTTGTGTCACAGCTATGACATTGTGTGGATTTACCGATCTTTGAACAGTTATTTGTGAATTGTCACTGAAACAATTATGCTTGGTCATATATTTACAAAGCGAAAAATCGTCACTGTCACTACAAAAATTATTTTAGTACCCAATCAGATTATATAGAATGTCTATACACAGTCCACCATCTTCTTCTTATGTTAGCTGAAT